AACCAAACTTCCTCTCCACAGACACATGGCCCAACACAGAAGAGCGCCCTCCTCAGGACAAGACTCTGCGGTACGTCTACACCTGATGGACAAAGGACATTCTTTGGAGGACCAGTATTTAACCATCAATATTTGCATGTTTTCTAAACAAAAGCAAGGCTTTGTTGGGCTGCTGTATAAAACCTGGAACTCAACCCTATTTCTGAAATACTGAAATGAAAAATCTTCCTGGATGGGAAGAGAAACGTCTTCAAACTCTGAAACAAAGTCCAGAGGATTGGTTTTTTTTTTACTTTTTTGGAATGAAAATGACCTGAATGACCAGACAACGACCAAACTAAAAGCGATGAATTGAATGATTAAAAAATCAAAACATGAAAATAACTCATAGTGAAGGTAAAAGTCGAAGTAAAAGTAGAAACATAAAATACACCACTGAGAAGAAGCAGAAAGTCAAGTTTACACCTCTGTTCCAAGCATCTCCTTGGTGCCTGCAGCACGGTTTTAAAAGGTAAAGGGGAAAAAGAATAAAGTTTTCCATCCCGTGTTTGGATCTTAAACATCGGGTTAAGGTTTTGTCCCTGCAACCCTAAAATTGACCTGATAGTAGTTTATTATTTTGCCGGGGAGTGCTAGTGTTGTTTTTTTTTTAACTTTTTTGAAATATCCTAAACTGTTATTTTAATGAATTGCTCCCCTGTTAACTGGGTAGTCTTTCTGTTTAAAGTGTTTCAATATGTTTTGTTGGTTTTCTCCATATTTTCCATAAATGTGTGAATCTCATCCAGTCCCATGAGGCAAACTGGTTTTGGTGTTTGGGAATCCCACGCGCAGTGAAGGCACCACCGTCCCGTCCCCCTCTGCCCACCCCTTTTGGACGCCGGTGGAATCGGAGCGCCTCCCGGTCCCAGACACCATTGAGCGGCTGGAGCTGCGGGCGGAGGAACCTGCTGAAGCTCAACCTCCGGATCTGTGCTCCCGGTCCGGGATCAGGTCTGCGCGCCCCGGCACACGGACTGGATGCTTTAGAGGAGCTACTGGGAGGACTGGGACTTTAGAGGAGCTACTGGGAGGACTGGGACTTGGCCTGAGCTGGGACCAAACAGGGATTATCAGTGGAAGGTGAGTAGGTCTGCCTGCTTCCAGCTGCTGGATGGAAAAACAAAGTTTTACAGGCTGTTTGTTCAGCCTCTGGCTGGTTACCTGTGCATGATGCATTTCTACCTTCACTCTGTACTTCTGCGCGCTCATTGGCTGCAGTCCCGCTGCTTTGCAGCAGGGGTCGCTATAGAGAGCTGCATGGTTTTTGCGCCCTTTGCTTCTGTCTAAAATCAAACCCTCCTGAGTTCTCTTGACATTTTTAAAACATTGTTTTCTTACTTTCATTTTGTTGGTTTTAGCATGTTTGTCGGGTTTATCCCAGAATAAAATGTTCAGATGTTTTCATAGCAGATCTAGTTTGTTTCTATCTGCAGGTTTCTGATCTGAATCTCCTTTTTCCCTCATAGGGAATCTGCTGCTCTAACAAATCTAAATCTAAAGCAGTCCACATCTTAAAGAGATAAAGATAATAAACCAGCATTAACACTTGGTCATCCATCCAGCCGGGGGGGATACTAGGGCCCCAAGATCCTGGGGGCCCCATAAAAGTAATTTATGCACATTAACTATGTTTTTAATCAAAATATTTTGGCTAAAATGCCATCAGAACACTGTTAATATTAAGTGTGTCTCAGCCCCCCCCTTCAGTGTCCTCCATATTGGATCAGTCCATTTGCCGCACATGTTCAGAA